AACCCCAAACACTCAACCCTCAACCCTAAACCCTAAACTACCCAGGCCAGCGAGGCCCTGACGCCTTCCCGTTTGCGGGCCGTCGCTCCTCCGCCATGGGCACGATCTCTGTGCAGGAGGTCCTGAGGGCAGCTCGGCCAGGGTTTAGGGTTTAGGGTTTAGGGTTTAGGGTTTAGGGTTTAGGGTTTAGGGTTTAGGGTTTAGGGTTTAGGGTTTAGGGTTTAGGGTTGCGGGTTTAGGGTTTAGGGTTTAGGGTTTAGGGTTTAGGGTTTAGGGTTTAGGGTTTAGGGTTGGGTTTAGGGTTTAGGGCATAGGCATGTGTAGGGCTGCTCTACAGATCTGGGAAGTTCTCAGTTTTCCTATTTGCTTAGAAGGGAGATATCGGGTAATCTTCAGGTACCTTGATCAACTCCCAATTTAGGGTTTAGGGTTTAGGGTTTAGGGTTTAGGGTTTAGGGTATTTTGAGGGCAGTTTTTAAGGCCTAAACCCTCAACACACTTATGGTAGCTGTTGCTTTGTCGGACTTCTGGGTTTAGGGACTTAGGGACTTATGGTGCTAGGGCTCATGGCTTTAGGCTTTAGGCTTTAGGCTTTAGGCTTTAGGCTTTAGGCTATAGGGTTTAGGGTTTAGGGTTTAGGGTTTAGGCTTTAGGCTTTAGGCTTTAGGCTTTAGGGCTTAGGGATTTAGGGAAAGGGACCCTAAGGGAATACTTTTAGCAGCTATTCCGACCCCCATAGTACTAACCCAGTATGTAAGCTTTACGAATGAGGAGCCCTCCTACCAAAATGAAAGTCATTTTCTTCGGTCCAGGCTAGTGGGTTCCCAAGTGAACCCTACAGGGGGGGAGGTTTGAACATACTTTTTTTGATTCCTGACCCGTAATCCCTATAGAAACCTTATTTGGGCCATAAACAAAGTTTCACAGGGCCTCCAAACCTACCCCAGCTACAGGGGGTTGAGTTGGGATGATGTTCCCCCTAAAACTAACAGTCGTTAATGCAACTTCTAATAGCCCTAAACCCTAAATGAACTGAAAACATCAAGGCGGTGAGCGTGGAGACGATGGTGGCGAGCAAGAGTGTGGAGGTGATTTCGCGGGCCTGTGAAGGCTCCAGTGCCCCTCGGAAAGGTTTAGGGTTTAGGGTTTAGGGTTTAGGGTTTAGGCTTTAGGCTTTAGGCTTTAGGCTTTAGGGTTTAGGCTTTAGGCTTTAGGCTTTAGGGTTTAGGGTTTAGGGTTTAGGGTTTAGGCGTTTAGGATTTAGGGTTCAGGGTTTAGGGTTAAGGTAGGCCAACCCCCCCCCCCCCCCCCAACTTCGCCCCACATCCTGCCTCGGTAGGCCCTCGGGACATGTTATATTTTTCCCTATTGGGTTTAGGAGGATCATTTTTAGATTAGGGTTCAGGGTTTAGGGTTCAGGGTTCAGGTTTCAGGTTTCAGGTTTCAGGATTAGGAATGTTTTTCAGAGGGTTTTGAGGGCCATCCTAGCTGCTGATTCCTGGTGCCGCTGAGGTTTTCCCCGTCATCGAGACGCCCTCCGCCGGCGGCTCTTGTAGGTGCATGTAAGGAATGTAGGCTTTGGGGTTTAGGGTTTAGGGTTTAGGGTTTAGGGTTTGGGGTTTAGGGTTTAGGGTTTGGGGTTTAGGGTTTAGGGTTATATAAGGGTTTAGGGTTTAGGGTGCCCCTTAGAAGCCCTGAGCCCAGCATTTCGGCCGCCGTTGGCTCTCGAGCTGGCGCGGAGAGGATGCCCAAAGATGGCATCTGCATCCAGCCACCTCCTTTTCCCGAGCTGGCGGCCTCAACCCTGACACCCTAACTTTGGAGGCTCTTAGCCCTATAGGGCGTAGGCTCAGCTCTAAGGGGCTTAGGATTTTAGGGGTTTAGGGTTTGAGGTTTTGAGGGGGGGGGGCTTAGGGTTTAGGATTTAGGGAGCCTTCCAAGGACCTAACCCGCAACGCATCATCCACGGGGCGCCGATCTAAAGGATCTCGCGCGACGATTTTCTCCAATTTTCCAACACTCTTGGGTCTTCGAATCCCAACCTTGGTCTAGGGACAAGCCTGGACCCCCACCACCGATTTTCCTCGCGCTCCTGGGCACAAGCTCTCCGCAGCAAGATGCTAGGAGTCAGGCGAGCCGCCCGGGGTTTCGATTGAGGTCTCAGCCAACCGAGAAGCTGTGAGACGCCGTCGCCTTCAGAAGAGGCCCCCTCCGCTTGAAGCCTAAAAACCCTAAAACCCTACAAACCCTATGGACCCGTTAAACCCTATAAACCCCATAAGCCTATCAACCCTCTAAACCCAAGAAGCCCTACAAATGCTAAACCAAACCGCGGCCCCTAGAATGCAAAGGGAGGGGACTCGGAGAGTTTTGGTGTTTTTCTTTTGCTTTCACGGCATTTTGGGGGTCCAAGCTCTACCAACCCGAAGGTGCAACACCTCAGGGCTTTTAGGGTTTAAGTTTTTCGTGAAAGGGTGTTTATGGTTTTTGTTTTTGTTTTGCCAAAGGGATTTTAGGGCTTTAGGGTGTTTAGGTTATATATATATACATATATATATATACATGTATGTATATATATATATACATATATATATATACATATATGTATATATATATATATATATATGTATATATTGCTTTTTGGGCTGATGATTGTGGCAGGGGCGCGAAGCCTCGAGCCCAACGCGCCAACTCCAAGGCAAACCTCACAAGCCTCCGAAGTCCTAACCCCCAACGTACCCCTAACCCCTAACCCCTAACCCCTAACCCCTAAACCCTAAACCCTAAACCCTAAACCCTAAACCCTAAACCCTAAACCCTAAACCCTAAACCCTAAACCCTAAACCCCTAAGCCCTAAACCCTAAACCCTAAACCGGTTTGCTGGGAAATCTCATGAAGCTCCTCCCAGAGAGCCCAGTCCAGTTCCCCTTTACTTTGGGAATGATGCCGTAAAATCTACTAGGGCTCCTGCAGTGAGTCGAGGTTTCATGTTCCTAAACCCTAAACCCTAAACCTTAAACCCTAAACCCCAAACCCTAAACCCTTAACCCCAAACCCTAAACCCTAAACCCTCAACCCTCAACCCTCAACCCTGAACCCTGAACCCTGAACCCTAAACCCTAAACCCTAAACCCTAAACCCTAAACCCTAAACCCTAAACCCTAAACCCTAAACCCTAAACCCTAAACCCTAAACCCTAAACCCGAAGATGAAGGGGTATTGGGCTCTCTGGGCTCTTCAGAGAGCGCCCTGCGCTCCTTAGGCGGGCCCAAAGCAGCGCGCGCAAGCGAGCCCAGATGAAGCAACCCTAAACCCTAAACCCTAAACCCTAAACCCTAAACCCTAAACCCTAAACCCTAAACCCTAAACCCTAAACCCTAAACCCTAAACCCTAAACCCTAAACCCTAAACCCTAAACCCTAAACCCTAAACCCTAAACCCTAAACCCTAAACCCTAAACCCTAAACCCTAAACCCTAAACCCTAAACCCTAAACCCTAAACCCTAAACCCTAAACCCTAAACCCTAAACCCCACATGCGACACCATGAGCCCTACATAGAGTTTGAGGTAAAACCCGAAACCCTAAGCCCCCTAAACCCTACCAAACCCTAACCCTAAGCCCGAAAGCCTCAATCTTCAACCCCAACCCCCTGAGCCGAAATGTAGGAATCTGTTTGTTGTCCTTGGGGTTTCTGTGCTGCAGGTTCTTGTTTTCATGTGACACCTTTTTTGCCTTTTTCTTGGATTCTGTATCCGCTTACGAAGCTAAGAAACAGCAATTAGGGTTTAGGGTTTGGGGTTTAGGGTTTAGGGTTCAGGGTACCCCTTTTTCAACACATGCTTGCTGGCCTACCTAAGGTTCATGATTTTTTGTTTTTGGGTTTCGGGGCAGGCCGGGTGCACTAATGTCGGCAACATCGTTGACAACACCAAGCTGCAAGAGTCAGTTGCGCGAGCTTTTTCTGGTCCGACACCTTCCACACCCTGACCTCCGCGTTGAACAAAAAGGGTAGGAAGGAACCCCACTGACCTTTGAGGGGGGTCACAGCTACGATGGTAGCACAGTCGCTACTAGACTCCCTTCTTATGAACCTCCAAGTGACTCGGCACTGAATTACCCAGGACTCGATATTGAACTACCCAGGAATGAGAGGGTTAGAAAGCCCAAACCCTGTGGCGAAGGCCAAACATGTCCCAAGTCTCCGAAGCAGCCCCCTTATACACTTAGTAGCTGAGTGGGCACACTTTACACGATAAACCCTTATAGACCTGAAAGTGTACACTTTTGGGGGGCCTATGAACTTATGAACTCAGCAACTAAGTACACGGGATATCCCCTCTTACTCATGTATGTAGTAAAACTACAGAAGTGATCAAGGCCCTTAGTATGGGCCCTTCGGGAGCCCCTTATATCCTCTATACACCCCAAGGGCGCATACTTTAGACTTGTAAGGAAAGGTTTTAGTGTTTAGGCTTGAGGGTTTGGGGGTTTAGGGTCTACTTCTCAGGAAGGTAAGGTATGCCTGCACCCCAGCACACCAAGAGCCCCATACTCTGACCGGGCTCTTAGGGACCCTTAGAAGAGACCTTAGCGGCTACATTGGGATTACGTTGGGTCTACATATATAGTTATAGGGACTATACAAGCTATGTATGTAATATATATATATATATATATATATATATACAAGGGTTATATAGGGGAATAAGATTAAGGGTCCCTTCTCGGGGTCCCTCCTAAAATCCCCTGCTGGAGGCTCTCTAGTCGATTGGCTCAAGCCCTCCAGGGTTTAGTGCTTAGGTTTCGGGTTTTGAGGTCACTTAGGGACGCACCTTGATGAGGGTTAGGGGCACGGTGATAACCCTTCCATCCCTAAACACCCTAAACTGTACCCTAAACCTTACCCTGAAACCCTAAACCCCAAACCCTAAACCCTAAACTCTACGCTCAAGCATGGGGCTTCTCTTCCCGAAGTCCCCGAAGCACCCCGGGGCCAGGGCGGTGCAGCTTCCCGCGGACCCGCAGCCTACTTAGAGATGAAGGCCAGGCCCGAATCCAGCGCTTTCGGCTTAGGGTTTTAGGGTTTAGGGTTTAGGGTTTAAGGGTTTAAGGGTTTAAGGGTTTAAGGGTTTAAGGGTTTAAAGGGTTAAAAGGGTTTAAGGGTTTAAGGGTTTAAGGGTTTAGGGTGTAGGTTTTAAGGTTCAGGGTGTAAGCGTTAAGGGTTTAGGGTGTAGGGTTTAGGGCTCAAGGTGTTGGGGCCTAGGGTCAGGGATGATTTCCATGAGCCTTCAAGTAGGCTTTTCGAATGTTTCGGTGGTGTTGATAAGGGTTTGGGGGCAGGATTTCGACCAGTTTGGAGTTCGGGGGCGTCGGGACTTCGAAGGCGTGCCATGTCTTCGGCCCTGCTGGAGGTTTCATGGTACCCTCCAGCCAGGTATGGAAATGAACCTCCCTAAGCCCTAAGCCCTAAGCCCTAAGCCCTAAGCCCTAAGCCCTAAGCCCTGAGCCCTGAGCCCTGAGCCCTGAGCCCTGAGCCCTAAGCCCTAAGCCCTAAGCCCTCAGCCCTAAGCCCTAAGCCCTAAGCCCTAAGCTCTAAGCCCTAAGCCCTAAGCCCTAAGCCTAAAATACCCTGAACCCTCAAAACCCCAAAACTTGCTTGAAGGTTCATCGGTAGTTCTCCGCCGAACTTCCCAAGCAAGGCGGATTAAAGGAACCCCGTGGTTGCATTCCTGTGAGTTCCGGGTGAGGAAGACTCAAGAGGTTGAGGTTCCGGGCCCTGGGGCAACCGTGCGGCCCGCAGGTTTACGGTTTAGGGTCTAGGGTTTAGGGTTCCCTAAATATTCCTCCGCAACGTTTACAATAGAAGCTCCCATCAAAACCCCGCCAGTTCTGAACAGTGCTAAGCCTTAAAAGTTCCCTAAGCCCTAAACCCTATCCTCAATCCTGTCCTAAACCCTAATCCTAAGCCCTAAGCCTTAATCCTAAACCCTAAGCCCTAAACCCTAAACCCTTAGCCCTAAACCATCCCCGGCTGAGGGTTGCCAGGGCTCAGGGGGGAGGGGGGCTTGGGTGTTTTTCGTGGACGAAGGTGCAGCTGCTCCTCAGCTACCTGATCGCCTTGACGTACTACCTGCTCCTGAAGGTCAAAGGCAAGGCTTGGTTTACCCTAAACCCTGAACCCTGAACCCTGAACCCTAAACCCTAAACCCTAAACCCTAAACCCTAAACCCTAAACCCTAAGCCACCCTTAACCCCCGAATGAGTGGGAGGTGTGCCGGTGGAGACCCACCCAGTCGTGTCCACACCTCAGCCTCAGGATTTTGGTGGTAGGGTTCAGAGGGAACAGGGTTCACGGTTCAGGGGTTTGGGGTTTGGGGTCTAGGAGTCGGCCCGAGTCTAATATCGGGGCCTTAATTATTAGAATAGGGTTTTGGGGGTTATTATATTATAATTATGAAGCAGCCACAAGGGGATACTATTAGTAATTATTCCGACCCCGATATTGCTTTGTCATCTCACCGCATCACACAGAGCTCCGATGGATGCTTGCCAGACTACGTTGGCAGTATCAAGAAGCCAGAAGAGCGAGAGAGAAATTCTCTCTCGACCCTAAACCCTAAACCCTAAACCCTAAACCCAAAACCCTAAACTCGAGGGCTACGCTCAGCACCCGCAGCTGGAAGAGGGCAACAAAATGGAAGCGCCCGCTCCTAGAGCCCTAAACCCTAAACCCGAAACCCTAAACCCTAAACCCCAAACCCCAAACCCTAAACCCTAAACCCTAAACCCCAAACCCCAAACCCCAAAACGGACCAAGGCCCCGGCTCCTGTGGATCCGGTCGCTTCTGGAGAGCCACGGCCGCATTCAGTTCGGCCTCGACATGGAGATTCATGGTACTTGAGGGTTAAGGGCTTAAGGGTTTTAGGGTTTAAGGGTTTAAGTGTTTAGGGTTTAGGGTTTAGGGGCCAATCTTTCGGCCTTCAAGTCGGCTTCTAGAATCAGGTTCCTGACCTATCTGGTGAATTTGACCCTTATAGCCATAACCCCTAAACCCTCAGCCCGAAACAACCCTAAACCCTAAACCCTAAACCCCTAAACCCCTAAACCCCTAAACCCCTAAACCCCTAAACCCCTAAACCCCTAAACCCCTAAACCCCTAAACCCCTAAACCCTTACAGCCCCGATGCCTGGCTTGGTTTCCAAGGTCGGCTGTCCATGCTTAGTCATCGCGCTGCTGTACGTTTAGGGTTTGGGGTTTGGGGTTTAGGGTTTCGGGTTCAGGGTTTATCAAAATTACGGGCTCGCACCCCTAAAGCTATTTGTCAGAGAGCGGCCCCCAAATTTCAAAGAACATGCAAGTTATGTTACATCCGATGAACCAGCAAGCGCCGCTTTGAACCTCGGAGCTACTTCGAAGTCTCGGTAAACCCTAAACCCGAAGCCCTAAACCCAACAAGCCCTAAACCTTGGGATGTTCCCCCTTATATTTACAGGCCTTAAAAGGGCTTAGAATAGGGGGTACTAGAATACCTATTAGGAATTGTTCGTATAAGGGGGAGCATCCTAAGTTGAGGGTTTAGGGCATGCAGGCCGCGCCCCTGAACTGCAACCCTAAGCCCAAGGAAGCTCAAGCCAGTGGACCAGCGCCTGCAGCATCCAAGCTGAGTCAGTTTTTATATTTGTTGGCGGGGAGGTTGGGGCTTAGGGCGTTGGGGGTAGTAGAATCCAGCCAACAAGGGAACAATAGGATTCAAGCTGTTTATCTGTATAGACTTCAAAGATATCATACCTGTGGAACCTTGGGGGAAGCCGAGGGAGCCCCAAGGAGCACAAAAGGGAGATTTCAGTTGCGGTTTAGGGTTTAGGGTTTAGGGTCTAGGGTTTCGGGTTTCGGGTTTAACGGGCTTACCAAAGCGCCCTAAGAGAGAGAGAGAGAGAGAGAGAGCATGCCGAAACAATCTTTGAACGAATCCTAGAATGATAGTCTGAGCCTGCAACGGGTGCAAGAGACTTCTGCTCCCAAAAGCACCAATTAACTTTAGATCTCCATTAAAAAAAACTTGTGCTCCCTGGTTTAGGGTTTAGTTTATAGGAGGTTGCTGACTGGCCTTAGAACAAGACCTCCAAGCCAAGATCCCCAAGTGCCAGAGAGGGTCAAGGAGGAGGGTTAGGGTTTAGGGTTCATTTAGAGCATTCCCCCCCCCAATCCCACCCTTGGCATGTGGCAACCTCCCCAGACCCTGACTGAGAGGCTTTGCTGCAAAATCCCGCCTGCACTGCTGTCGCACAAGGCAGCGGTCTCTGCGTGTTTCCCAAGCCTGTGGGCTTTGAGCTTGGTTCCACGAAGGGACAACTCTCTTGCGCCAACCTGATTGGCGGCTCGCCGTCCTCAGCAACTCTGTGCGAAGAACCTACCCTCTTCATCATGCGCTCGATAGGGGGCGGCAAGCAGTGTTGCGATGTCCTTTTGAAGAAGGCCGGTGGCGTCACCACGACATCAGCTGCTCGGTTGACCTCCACTTCCACCCCGGAATCCCCTTCAGTTCTGGCGGTGATTTGGAATTGACTTCGAAGTTCTATGGGCCCTGAGCTGAAGAGAACCCATGTAGTCCACACAGAAACATTAAAAAAGTCCACCCAGGCAACGCCTCTGAATCTCGCCTTACCTAACTCTAAACCCTGAACACCAAAAAATGCCTCTCTGAATCTCGCCTTAAAACTCCTGACTCCCAACCCTAAACCCTGAACAATAAAAATGCCCCTGAGGTATCAGATGAACAAGCTCCTGCAGTGGACGGACGCCAAGAGAGCGGAGCAGCTCGCAGGTCCCCCCGCTAAGGTTTAGGGTTTAGGGTTTAGGGTTTAGGGTTTAGGGTTTAGGGTTTAGGGTTTAGGGTTTAGGGTTTAGGGTTTAGGGTTTAGGGCTTAGGGCTTAGGGTTTAGGGTTTAGGGCTTAGGGTTTAGGGTTTCGGGTTTAGGGTTTAGGGTTAGAAGACTCCCCCACAAACGAACTAAAGAGCAAGGGATCCAATTTTGAGAACAGGCCCTCAGGGTTTAGAGGTTCAGGCTTTGGAGTATGGAACTTTCGGATCTGGGTTTTGAAGGTCTAAACCCTAAACCTTAACCCTAAACCCCTAAACCCCAAAGCCCAAACCCCAAACCCCAAACCCCAAACCCCAAACCCTAAACCCTAAACCCTAACTTGGTTGCTTTGTCAACTTCCGGGTTTTAAGGCTCCGGGGCAGCCAGGGTCCAATACCCTCAGCCCTCTAGCCTACCTGTTACTGGCGGGGGGGGGCGGGGTTTAGGGTTTGGGGTTTAGGGTTTAGGGTTTAGGGTTTGGGGTTTAGGGTTTAGGGGGCCGGGGTCCGGTTTCATTGTCTTGCGAGCTGGAGGTTTGGGCTAGAGCTTTAGGGCTTGTAGGGGTTTCGACGCATCTTTGGGGCACGGCCCCCTACGCCCCTTCCCCTCCCTGAGGTGTAAGTTTAGGGTTTAGGGTTTAGGGTTTAGGAATTACTTGGGGGTGTTATCTGGGGTTCTGTTAGGGTCTAAGCAGGGTGTAGGGATCGGTGCTCCCAGGCCAGACAGATGCGCATGTGCGGAGCCCGGATCTAAACCCTAAACCCTAAACCCTAAACCCTCAACCCTCAACCCTCAAGCCTCAACCCTCAAGCCTCAAGCCTCAACCCTAAAGTCTCAAGCCTCAAGCCTCAAGCCTCAAGCCTCAAGCCTCAAGCCTCAAGCCTCAAGCCTCAAGCCTCAAGCCTCAAGCCTCAAGCCTCAAGCCTCAAGCCTCAAGCCTCAAGCCTCAAGCCTCAAGCCTCAAGCCTCAAGCCTCAAGCCTCAACCTCCTTTCTTGTTTCAGCCTAAAAACCCAACAGTTTTGTGGTCGAAGGATCCCCAAGTCTTCGGGAAACACGCTGCCCTTCAGGGGGCGGGGGGGGGGGGGGGGGGGGGGGGGGGGAGGGGAGGGCAGAAGTATGAAACCTTGAGCCCTAACCTTAAGCCCTAGCACTATACCCTAAAGCCTAGACCGTAAATTGCTAGAGTCGTTCATGTCTCTGCAGACGGTGGCTGTATGGTAGATCTAAGCTCTAAATCTAAATATAAAGCATCGACCGCCCTTGCCATGACGAAGCTAGTGCCGTGCTCATGTTCGCGGTTTGCATGCGACAAGTACGTTGTCCGCAGCATCCAGACACAGGACCGAATGGGCGAGATTATGCAGCTGGGATTGTTTGCATCCAACGAGAGTGCCTCCGGCGCGACGACCCTGGCTGTGGCAGATGAGGAGACCAAACAATCTGAATGGAAGAGCTTGCCGGACCGAGTGGTGCACCACTTGCTGGAGTTGGGATGTTGCTCCTCATACTTGCAGTCCTTACAGGGTTTAGGGTTTAGGTTTTAGGGCTTAGGGTTCTTAAGGCTCGGGTTCGATGTGGCCTCGGGCCCTAAATAGGAGCCACTTCTGATCAGAATGGATATCTTGGGTAGCCTGTTTTTCCACAGGCAAGGGGGGGCTTTTTAGGCACTCCGATGTTGCAAATACATGGTCTGCATTGCAGCTATATAGGAACTATTGGGACCTAGGAAGAACTTTACTACAACTTTGCCACTTTGTTAGTTTTGGGGGTTCCTCGTCTTCTTATGCAGGGAGCGAACCCTAAACCCTAAACCCTAAACCCTATAAGCCTATAACGCTAAAATGGGATTCCTGTATCGAGCGCTAGATCGAGTGCCAGCTTCAGCTCAGCCGCCACAGAGCATCGGAATCCCAAACCTGTTGGGGCCAGCTGCCTACCAAGCGCGACGAGACCTGCTAGGAGATTTAGGGTATCAAGGTTGAGGGTTTAGGGTGTGGGGTATCAAGGCTTGGGGATTTCAGGCGTTTAGGGTAAAGGCTTAGGGTTGGGGACCTGCCCATGATACCTCGAACTTCAAAACCCTCAATTCCAAGCCCTAAACTCTGATACCCTACAAACCCTGATGCCCTAACACCCTCAACCCTCGACCCTCTTCAGTCTGACTGAAGACTTAGGGTGTAGGGTTTAGGGTTTAGGGCTTGGGGCGCTGAACCCCGCGCCTTGAAGCCCTCTGAGCCCAACAGCCCCAACAGAGGCCCTCCGCCCGGGGAAGTTGGCGACCACGGTAGCAGATGAGGAGGAGGAGTCATGCTCAGACCGACTCCGGGGTGTTAAACTCATTTAGGGCTTAGGGTTTAGGGTTTATATAGGGTTTAGGGCTTCGGGGTTAGGGTTTAGGGTTCAGATGCTCAGCCCGGTTTAGGGCTTAGGGTTTCGGGTTTTGGGTTCAGGGTTAAGGGTTTAGGGTTTTGGGCTTAGGGTTTGGGGTGGTAAATTCATTTTGGGGGGTTTCCGAAAAAAGGGGTACCCTTTTTGGGGGTCCCTTTAAGGGGATTCTATCCTATTTGGGGTATAACGGGGTACCCCTATGTTGGGAAATACACATTTTGGGCTTAGGGTCTCGGTTTTTAGGGTCTAGGGTCCGAGTTTGCACAAGCTTCTTCAGGTAAACTCCAAGCCCAAGGCAAATCCCCAAGTCTGGAAGACCCAGGCTTTAGGGTTTGACGTAGGGGTCCCTTCCCCGAGAAGCCCTGATCCCGCAGTGGCCCTTACACCACACATGAACCTTCAAGGGAACCTCAAGTAAACCTCGAGTAGAGGAAGGTTCCGTCAATCTCGGCCCCTACATTTTGAGAAGCCGGAGAAGCCCTAAATGCCCGAACCCGAACCAGTCAGACAAGACCCCCACAACCTTGAGAACTCCTCTTCTACCATTTCCTTAAGAACCCCCCCAAAAACCCAATATTCTTCCTTGTTAGGGTAGTATAGGGCTTTTAATGAAAATGGATGTTTTTTTTTTTTTTTTTGGGGGGGGGGGGTACTTAAGCAAATAGCAGTCCTGCAACCCTTCCTGCACCTGATGATTTTGCGAGTTCTGCGCTCTAGGTTTAAGGCTGGGGATCAAGGCTGGGGCTTAGGTGCCATGAATTCAAAGTAAACCCTAAACCCTAAACCCTAAACCCTAAACCCTAAACCCTAAACCCCTAAACCCTAAACCCTAAACCCTAAACCCTGAACCCTTAACCCTTAACCCTTAACCCTAAACCCTAAACCCTAAACCCTAAACCCTAGACCCTAGACCTTAAACCCTAAACCCTAAGCACCCACAATGCACAGGAGGGCGAGGAGGCGTCGGAGGCGCCAGAGGAGAAGGATGCCATGGGTTTGGGGTTTGGGGTTTGGGGTTTAGGGTTTAGGGTTTAGGGTTTCGGCTTTAGGGTTTAGGGTTTAGGGTTTAGGGTTCAGGGCCTTGAACCCTCCACCCCAAAACCTGAACCCTAAGCCCTCTGTGCCCTCAACATGCTGGGTCTAGTGTTTCTCTACGGTTGGAACCACTGGCCCTGAGCATGGTCATGGTCCATTACCCTTGTTTCGAGGGAACCGAAGGATGGGCCCTTACCATGATTGTTGTGTTTAAAATGTCACAAGGGACCCAAATTAAAGGCCCATACTTGGCACCTTAGAGTTTAGGGTTTAGGGTTTAGGGTTAGGTTTCGTCTCTGTTCGGGTTCAGTCTTGCCCAGGCTTGAGGATGGAGACCTGCGGGAGTCGGGCTGATAGCCTGCTTGGGGTTTACATTTTTTGGGGGTGTATGGTTTAGGGTTCAGGGGTTTAGGGTTTAGGGTTCAGGGTTTTGGGTTTAGGGTTTAGGGCCTGTGGTTTGAATGCCCTGAGTAGTGGCCGTTGCAGCAACCCTCCCCGCGGAGGAGGATGCGGTCTACAAACCGCCCAAGATCTCCCAGGCACGGAGGGCTCGGATTTACGGTTTAGGGTTTAGGGTTTGGGGTTCAGGGTTTAGGGGGATTTGAGGCAGGAGATTGACCTCTGTTACTTGGTTAGGTCCTTGAGAGATTCTATGTATTCCTTTTTTTGAGTTTAAAAACGGATCACACGTAGAGATATTTCTCAGAAGGTTTTCAGGGCAGACCTAGCAACGAACCCCATGTGCGGAGCAGCCGAAGTGTTACAGCTGGGTTGGGGAGTACCATTACTTCAATACATTTGTCGGTTCTTCTAGGTTCCTGTTTTGCAACTCATACCTAAAAAGTATACATTTTTTCCAGGGTCTACTCCAAAGATATTTTTGTTGATTCTGGGTTCCTATTATCGCTACTTATAGCTAGAAAGTATATGGCCAGTTCTCAAAGTTTGGGTCCCGTTTTGGGTACCCTGGGTAAGCGGGGCCGCCTTATACTGGGCCAAAAACCCTGGCCCTGACCCAGCCCCTGGTCCTGCCCTGGCCCTGACTCTGTCCCCTGCCTTCGTGGCTGTAGCCCCCTCGGGCCAACCAAGCCTCGCTTCCTTTGTCTGTTCCTGGCCATAAAAGGTCTTAACTCCTTGAGAGTTGTATGTGGGCGGTCTTGGGGTGGGTAGGTCTGCAAACTAACGCGCGCTCCGCGTTTGGCACGCCCTAAACCCTAAACCCTAAACCCTAAACCCTAAACCCACACCCTAAACCCTAACCCCCTAACCCCCCCTAACCCCCTAACCCCCTGACCCCCTAACCCGCTAACCCGCTAACCCCCTAACCCCGTAACCCCCTAACCCCCTAACCCCCTAACCCCCTGACCCCCTGACCCCCTAACCCCCTAACCCCCTAACCCCCTAACCCCCTAACCCCCTAACCCCCTAACCCCCTACCCCCCTAACCCCCTAACCCCCTAACCCCCTAACCCCCTAACCCCCTAACCCCCTAACCCCCTAACCCCCTAACCCCCTAACCCCCTAACCCCGTAACCCCGTAACCCCCTAAATCCTAAACCGTTCCGGGTGCAAGGTGTGCTTCTGCAGGATTGAGGGTGTAGGGATCAGGATTTTGGCTGCCAGAAATCAGGGAGCCGATCACAGTGTGTTGTTTTAGTAGTAGGAACTGTTTAGGGATTAGGGTTTAGGGATGTAAGGGTGTAGGGCGCCAGACTCCGAAGCCAGTATTTTATAGGGTTAAGTCACCTTGACAAGAGCCTCAGAGTACGAACATTGTCGCGGGAACCGGGTACTTTAAAGGGAACGCGTCAGTAGGTGAAGCTTGAGGCGGCCGAAGAGGCCCTCATGTGGTCGAGGCTAGCCAGGCCAAGACTTGTCTCTTTTGAAACATGAACAGTTAGGTAAGCTCTTGAGGCATTTTATATTTTCCCTTAGTGGGTTTCAGAGGATCATGTTCAGGATTATTTTTCAGATTGTTTTAAGGGCCATCCTAGTTCTGTTCATGTTCTGAGCATCGTCGCCAATCTTGAAGGTGGTTGGGCAGCATCTCAAGATCCAGCAACGACGACCTTAGCATTTTGAAACAGCCAACCTTGCGAGAACAGCTGGACATTTCCAAGCCCAAAACCCTCACGGAGGTTCGAAAAGCCAGTGTGCAAGACAGTGAGTCACAGCTTACGTTAGGTTTCTACTCACTTCTGACGAAACAGATAGGTTTTGTGTGAATGGGGGCTAAGAGTTTTGCATTCAGCAACACCCGGCCATACCCGAACACATGCTGGTGTGAGCTGCATGGAGGTGGAATACACCGGCGACCATGTCTCCATGCAGGCGTGGGGCCTTAGACAATACTGAGCGGCGGTACACAGGCAGTGCTATCTGGGGTTCTCAGTAGGGTGGCAGTAGCCTTCAAGCAGACCCCTAGGTCCTTGGGCATAGCACCCCAAGCCCCTACCTCAACATGACCTCTGGCAGATCAGTCGTCCTGAGTTTGACCACTGCGGGTCGTTTTGGGGTTCACATCTTGCGGGTTTAGGGTTTAGGGTTTAGGGTCTAGGGTCTAGGGTTTAGGGTTTCGGGTTTAGGGTTTAGGGTTTGTTCTTGACCAATGTGGTTTGTTGGTTCTACGTTCTGGTTCGGGTGGTAAGGCCCACAAGTTATTCTCGAAGGGTGAACCCCCCCCCAAGGGGACTCTGACTCTCCAAGTTATGAATTTGTAGTTATACTGGGAATAGCTTAGCGTGTAGCGGTTAGGGTCGATTTGGGGTTCTTACAACATGACTCAGGACTACCCATGCGCCCTTCAAGTACGGCTTGACCTGGGGGTTTAGGTTTGAACGTCCCCCCCAGAGACTCCAAAACCCCTTAATTAAGCAATATACCTTAAATTATAGTAGGAACCCTAATATGATTTAAGGTATATTCCTTAAGGGGGTTTTGGAGTCTCTGGGCCAGTCTCAACTGCTGCCGGCCCGATCCACCCATCAAGGGCTACTGGGTTGGATAACCCTTGTGTTGGGTTTCTCTTCCCGCAAAACCTAAACCCTAACCCGCAAAAGCCTAACCCTGCCTATCAAGGTGGGCATACTGTTTGTCCTACTTCTTCTTTCGATCAGTACTTGTCGTTTGGGCACCAGCAGCTGCAAGAAACACCTCGGATCCTGAACGTCTCAAGCCCTAAAATCCCAAGACACCTAAGCACCCTACATTGCTGTTGGTCATTACGATCCGAGCCCATTGTTCATTGCTGAAGGTTTCTGCGACAAACAACTACACACTAGAAGGATCTGGGTTGAGGGTTTGGGGGCAGCTGCTAGGATTGCCTGAAAACAAGCACAGATAAGATAAAAGATTCAAAATGGAACATTACCTCCAAAGGTAATTACAATTTTAGTAGTACGTGTTTGGTTTCCTTAAGCTATTCCTGGGTATAGCCTGGGCCAGAAGGCTTAAACTGTTAAATTGCCGGCACATACGCTTCTACTTTACATAAAAGTGACGAGGACCCGGAGTAGGCCCTTATTCCCCTTTGTTTAGGGTTTTGGCTCCCGTGTAACCCCCTTTAAAGCAAAAAAGATACCCCTTTTTGTACTTTTTCCGAGGTGGCTCTTGGGTCTAGTTACCCTAAACCCAAAAAAAAAACACTAAACTAAACTCTAAACCCAAAGGGGTTACTATTTGCAAGTTACGTGCTGAGCAGATCTGGGTGACAGGAGAAGGCGGAGAAAGAGCTGGAGCGGAAGAAGGTCGACTGGGTCAGGGGAGTATAGGGTTGAGATTTACTGGGAAGGCAGGGTTTAGAGTTTAGGGTTTAGGGTTTGGGGTTTAGGGTGTAGGGATAAGGTTTACTAGGAAGGCCCTTGGGATATCTGGATATTTTCCGTTCTGCGGTTGAGGAGGGCCATACTCAGTAATGTCTTTCGGAGGGTTTTGAGGGCCATCCTGGTTTGGGCTTCAAGTGGAGGTGCCTGTGGCCTGTGTTCCCTAACCCAAGCCCTGTTCCGCAACAACCAACGCCTTAAACCCTAGCCACATGGAGTTCTCAAGCAGGCGCAGGCGCACATGTAGAGGCAACTCGCGTGGACCTGCCCTGCTAGTGCCCTGTCCCTTCAAGAAAGACTCCTGTAGCACCGGCTGGGCTGCGCAAGACGCCTTCGCAAACGGATTGAGAGCAATTTGAGTAAAGGGTTTGTTCAGGCTTGGTAGCCCAGGCGTACCCTTCTCCCAGTTTTTGGTTCAAGGTTCCCTTCTAAAGAAACCTACCCAAAAAGGGTACCCATATTGTAGTATGGATACTGGGCTACCAAGTAGGGTCTTGAGTAGGGTTTAGGGGTTCGACGTTGTCTATCTCCTTCAGGCTTTACGCGCAGCGGCTTGTGAAGCCACCCTGTAACTCTGCTGCCAAGACCTGAGCCCCGAAACCGCTCAGAAGATGCCCCAGCGACGAGTTTAGAGTTTGGGTTTAGGGTTTGAGAACCTAAGCCCTACATGCTGCTTCAAGTTCCATTCCCTTTCTTGTGAAACTGTTTTGAGCCTAGATGAAGACCAGGCCCGCCTCGAGCGCAGCGAGTTCATGAGAAGCCTGCGTGAGGCACCTTGATTGGGATGTAAGCCCCAAAGCCCTGAAATCCTAAGCCCTGAAATCCTAAACCCTAAACCCTAAACCCTAAACCCTAAACCCTAAACCCTAAACCCTAAACCCTAAACCCTAAACCCTAAACCCTAAACCCTAAACCCTAAACCCTAAACCCTAAACCCTAAACCCTAAACTCCCTCACCCCCTGCACTCCGAAGGGCTTCACAGTAAGGACGCTGACACTAAGCGCTTCCTTGGCATGGTGCTGGAAACCCTTAACACCCGAAGCTCTAAACCCCGAAGCCACAGGACAGGAGGGCTGCTGGGTTTAGGGTTTAGGGTTTGGGGTTTGGGGTTTGGGGTTTGGGGTTTGGGGTTTGGGGTTTGGGGTTTGGGGTTTTGGGGTTTGGAGTTTGGGGTTTGGGGTTTGGGTTTAGGGTTTAGGGAGGGCTGTCTGGAGATTCCCGAACTCGTGTTTTGTTTTGGGGTGCTCTTTTGAAGTATGAACTGTAGGGCCCTGTAGGGTGGTGTAGGGGCAGCTTAGTGCTGTGTGTGTGTATTATAGCGTATTCGTAAGGGTGCTTGAGGTCTCGGAAGCGTTTAACGTTTTACTAGGTCTCCGAACTTCTTCCTGTAGCAGCGGGGCTAGAACCTGCTAATTCGACTTGGTTAAAGGCTCATTCATGGGTGGCTTTCGTAGGTTATAAAGAGCCCCTAAACCCTAAACCCCAAACCCTAAACTTTACAACCCAAACCCTAAACCCCTAAATCGCAGCTCTACCCTACTTGGCCTTGCTTCCTTTGCCCTGAAACAAGTGCCGATTGTTGTGCGAAACTCCAAGCAAACGTTCCATCGGGCTTGCTCTGCTGGAAGGCCTCTGGGATTTCGGCTCCTGGGTTCAGGGCTTAGGGTTTGGGGTTTAGGGCAAGGGTTTAGGGTTTAGAGTTTGGGGTTTGGGGTTTAGGGGTTAGGGTTTAGGTTTTCGGGACTACGAAAGGGACCTCTCTCTCAGGAGTTCACAGATGCGCCTAGAGAGATTCTGGGCGAGGAGAAGTCCGCACGCCCGGCACCCCAGTTGCTGACAGCGTGGTGCGGAAATCGTACTCCAAATGCCAACCTAAACCCTAAACCCTAAACCCTAAACCCTAAACCCTAAACCCTAAACCCTAAACCCTAAACCCTAAACCCTAAACCCTAAACCCTAAACCCTAAACCCTAAACCCTAAACCCTACACCTAAACCCTAAACCCTAAACCCTAAACCCTAAACCCTAAACCCTAAACCCTAAACCCTAAACCCTAAACCCTAAACCCTAAACCCTAAACCCTAAACCCTAAACCCTAAACCCTAAACCCTAAACCCTAAACCCATAACCCTAAACCCTAAACCCTAAACCCTAAACCCTAAACCCTAAACCCTAAACCCTAAACCCTAAACCCTAAACCCTAAACCCTAAACCCTAAACCCTAAACCCTAAACCCTAAACCCTAAACCCAAACAACCCTAAACCCCTTCAAGCAATCTGGGGATGGGCAGGGGGAAGGTGTGGGAAGGCCCTTCGAAGCCCAAGAGCGCTGGAGATCTAAGCCCTAAACCCCATGCCTTTTGTTTGGGTTTAGGGTTCAGGGTTGTGGGGTGGTGGGGGCGGGGGGGAGGGGTGTGGAGGAGGGTGACTCGAAACCCCAGGCCCTACTCGTAAACCCTACTGTAGACCCTATTTGGAGTTTCACGGTACTTAGCAACCCAGTTTATCACTGTGCCTACAACCCTTATAAGCCCCTTAAGTGCTGCAATGTGGAAGTACAGTTATAAGTATAGAGACCCTAAATTCTAAACCCTGAACCCTGAACCCTGAACCCTAAACCCCAAACCCTACACCCTGAACCCTCAGGGGCTTTATGAAGGCTTACAAGGCACAGATGGGGAGTCATAGGGGTTTGAAACGGACAGAGGGTTGGCCGCGGTTCCCTTCTTGTTGGGGGGGGGGGGTTAGGGGTAGGCTCCCTTGCAAACCCCTCAGTAGTTTAGGATTTGGGGTTAAGGCTTTCGGGTTCCTCGACCTAGTAAGTGTGCACGGTTTCCCGAAACCCTCACCCCTAAACCTTAACTAAACCCTAAGCCCTAGGGCTGCGTTTGCGAGGAGCTGCGAAAGCGGAGCGGCTTCTGCAGGAGCAGCAAGAGCGGGGAGCCAGGGCTTCTTCTTTGTTTGTTTGTTTCCGCTTCCTGAAGCCCGTCAGCCCTATACACCCTAAATTTAGGGTTGAGGGAACGACCCTAACCCCTAAACCCTAAACCCTGAGAGTTTTGAGGAGTGGGTCGGGCAAAGCTGGTCTGCAATAGGTTGTGATGTTCCCCCTTATACTAACAATCCTTAATAGGGATTATACTAGGGGGCTACTTTACTCCCTATGAAGGGCTGTTAGTATACAGGGAACATCCCAAACCATAGGGGGTTTAGGGTGAGAGGTGGTGGTGTGGGGCTGGCGCTGTCTGCTCGGATGTTCGCCATTCGTGCTGTGTGAGCTTGGCTCGCCAGTAGGGCAAGCAAGAACTACTAGACCCTAGACCCTAGACCCCAGACCCCAGACCCTAAACCCTAAACCCTAAACCCTAAAACCCTAAAACCCTAAACCCTAAACCCTAAACCCTAAACCCTAAACCCTAGACCCTAGACCCTAGACCCCTAAACCCTAAACCCAGAACCCTCAAACTTCGATTCCTCGATCCCTGAACCCTAAAGTAAGCAGGGAGCAGAGCTGCAAGCCGGCTGTTGCTGCACCTTACAGGTTCCCTCCCCAAACCCTAAACCCTAAACCCTAAACCCTAAACCCTAAACCCTAAACCCGAAACCCTAAACCCTAAACCCTAAAGATGCTTCATGTCTGGAAGATTTCGGGCGAGAAGCTGACCTCCATCGCGCTGGCAGAGTTGGAGGATGCGCGGTCTTTGAAGCGACGCATCCAAAGCGTGTGCGGGCTCCCCCGGTTTCTATATCCCCTTGGGATTTTTTTTTAAATTTTTTGTTCATATAACACCCAAGAGGATATTCAAAATCGTTTTTTAATTGAGGTTCTAAAAGAAGTATAGGTTTCGGCAGAAGCTCCTCTTGGATGGCAGAATCGTGGGGGATGATGAGACGCTGGCGAGCTTGGAAAGCAGGGGCACAGCGCAAGCCTCCTGTGTTGACCTCCAGTGCACCCTGCTGCCATTCCACGAGGCCTCAGAGAAAGAGAACGCGGACTTCCTTCGAACTGTTGGCAAAGGAGATGCGCAGATGGTTGAGGTGCTCCTCTACCGGCCACAGAATCCCGATTCTTGGTAGCCCAGTAGCCATTTTCATCTTCCGGGGTTGGTTGCTTTAGCAAGGGAAGCCAGAGCCAAACGACGGGAAAAAGGGCACCACTGGGCCACCAAGCTAACCCTAAACCGTAAACCCGAAACCCTAACCCCCCCCTCCAAAACAAAAAAAGTGGAAAAAGGGGCACCACGGGGGCCACCAAGGATTTCAGGCCGAATCCAGACTATTTCCCGGCACGCGAGGAGTTGCTTGTAGTAGAGTTGGTAACCTTTAGTAGCCTTTTTGGGTATGATAATCCCTAAGCCCTAAGCCCTAAGGCCTAAACCCTAAACCCTAAACCCTAAGCCCTAAACCCTAAACCCTAAACCCTAAACCCTAAACCCTACACCCTACACCCTAAACCCTAAACCCTAAACCCTAAACCCTAAACCCTAAACCCTAAACCTTTAGTTCCCCAATGTGACTGGACAACTGAGGTTGTCTCCGCTCGGTCTTGCCTCGCAGCGTGGCCACGCGGAGGTCGTCAGTTTGCTACCAGGAGCCCACTTGGGATACTTTTTGTTTCGGATTTTCCCATGTTCGGGGGGGAAACTGAAGACTTGGGATATGTTTCAGAATGTTCTCCATTTTTCGGGGGTTTAAGAGAATCTTTTTCTTATGACTATGTGTTCCCTCATTGGGCTTTAGGAGGATCCTAGTTGGGAACATGTTCCGAAGCGTTTGAACTATGGGCCATCCGAGGCTGCTGGAGGCCTCTGCCGACACAGGGTATTTGGCTGATGAGGATACCCACGAGATGCCGCTGAACTGCGCAGCCAGCGGAGGTTCTGCGGACGTTGTGCGAATGCTGCTGAAGGCCGGCGCCAACATAAACCGTGGAGATGACTATTTCACTCCCCTTGGTTCGGCAGTCCGAGCACGTCATGTGGAAGCTGCTTGCACCCTCTTGGACGCCCGCGCTGATAGCGATGCGGTATGCGACTGTTTCATTTCTGGGGCGTATCGGAGGCAATCTGTGACCCCACTTTTCCTCGCTGCCAGGTCAGGCCAGATGGAGATCGTCCGCGCATTGCTGGCTGCCGGCGCGGACAGGCACAAAGAGAGTGGTCATGGCCAACTACCGTTACCCGTTGAGGCCGCTGTTCTTGAAGGACACTGGCAAATTGCACGTCTCTTGTCTGGGAGTGAGGCAGTCGATGCTCATGCCGGGCCGATGTCTTGCGACGCGGCCATGGTCGATGCACCTGAAGGACAAACTGTGATGTTTGACAGGGTGAGGCACCCTACAGCCCAAGGCCCGAATCAACCCCTCAAATCACCGAAATCTAGACCCTTAAAGATCCTAAAGCCTGCGCCCTTAATCCTACACCCTAAGCCCTAAAACCCTAACACCCTAACACCCTTGACCCTAAGCCTAAGCAAGGCTGAGGTCTGTCTATCCTGAGACCATGAGGATCAACATCCCCAAGCCGCCCCAAACCCCAGTCCAGAGAAAACCCTAAACCCTGAACCCGAAACCCTTCGGGGCTTTTGGGGGTTTTGGGTTCAGAGTTTCGGGTCCCTCCTCCAAGCTTAGTTACCCCGAAGTAGCCTTACTTCTTTATTTAGAGGGGGGGGGGTAGCTGGAGCATAGGGAGGAAGGTGGTAGAGGACCCTATGAAACCTACAATCCCAAACCATGCGAAGCAGAGACAGCAAGGCAAATAGCAACACGGTTGAAGTTGAGGGCTGACCTGGATCATGGGTTTCTACGGTTCTAAACCCTAAACCCTAAACCCTATGCCCCAAACCGGGTTTATGGTGGGGTTCAGGGTTCAGAGGGCTTAGGCGTTTTTAGCCTAAACCCTAAAACCCTAAACCCTTTTAATGCACAGGAACTTTTCATGCCCGTGAACCTTGGAGTGAGTCCAACGTCCTCATGAGGTCACAACATAAACCCTAAACCCTAAGGTTTAGGATTTAGGGTTTCGGTTCACATGGTCCAAGAGACCCCAATCCAGCCGGGCCAAGGTACGAGGAAGATACGATGACCCGGATCAGGGTCAAGAAGGCCGGCTGCGCATAGTTTCTTTGTAGGCTTGGTCGCCCTGTGGTGCCGATTTCCCCTTTTTTTGGTTCTAGGTTCCCTAAACCCTAAACCCTAAACCCTAAACTCTAAACCCTAAACTCTAAACGAAAAAAGGGTACTTCTAGTATAATATGGTTACTGGGCTACCAAGTAGGCTTCCTACAGACCCTTTATAGAAGTCCATCGGCTTGGTCGAGCTTTTCGGGATCACACAGAGTTGGGGTTTCGGGTTTAGGGTATGGGGTCTGGGGTTTGGGGTTTAGGGATTAAGGTTTATTCAGGGTTTAGGCAGGGTCTCGGGTTTAGGGTATGGGGTCTTGGGTTTGGGGTTGAGGGATTAAGGTTTATTCAGGGTTTAGGCAGGGTCTCGGGTTTAGGGTATGGGGTCTGGGGTTTGGGGTTTAGGGATTAAGGTTTATTCAGGGTTTAGGCAGGGTTTAGGGTTTAGGGTATGGGGTCTGGGGTTTGGGGTTTAGGGATTAAGGTTTATTCAGGGTTTAGGCAGGGTTTAGGGTTTAGGGTTTAGGGTATGGGGTCTGGGGTTTGGGGTTTAGGGATTAAGGTTTATTCAGGGCTTAGGCAGGGTTTAGGGTTGAGGGTATGGGGTCTGGGGTTTGGGGTTTAGGGATTTCGGTTTATTCAGGGTTTAGGCAGGGTTTAGGGTTTAGGGTATGGGGTCTGGGGTTTTGGGGTTTAGGCTTAGGGGATGAGGGTTTAGGGGTTCAGGGTTTAGGAGGGGAGGGTTTAGGGTTGGGCTTTGGGCATAGGAGAGTGGATGCTCAGGGTCCTTGAAAGAATTTGCGCGAATGCTCATGAAGGCCCGAAATGACGAGCAATCTTGAAAGCATGGGTCTGTGCGCATGAGGCGTTTTAGGGTTCTGGGCTTAGGCTTCTCGACTTTAGGGTTAGCACCGAACCCTACAGTTTGGTTCTGGGCTTAGGGTTTCGGGTTTGGGCTTAGGGTCTACCACCTTTTTCCTAAATCCGAAACCCTAAAGCCCAAATAGGGGGGTTGAGCTTGCCACTGCGCCACTACAACTATCGCTGAAGGAGACTTGCTTTTTAAGTATGAACCCAAGCGAGTAGAAAACCTATTTTTTTGAACTGATTCTGGTTCCAGAACAGGGTGTAGACTGGATTCTATGTTGGAGAACTGCCCGCATGATGTCCTACAGTATCTCTCAATACTTCACCGGCTTCCGGTCTGCTGCATCGTAGGTTGGGATGTTCCCCCTTTTTCTAACAGTCCTTAATCGGTATTACAGTATCACCTAATATAACCGCTATGTAGGACTGTTAGTATAAGGCCAACCCACACTCTACAAACCCCTATACCCTACTTGGAGGTTCATGGGTAGATATAAGTAAGGTTAAATAAGGGCATGACTCAAGTTACCCTAGCACCTTCAGTCAGAGCCTCTCTTTGCCGCAACCCTAAACCCCAAACCCCAAACCCCAAACCCCAAACCCCAAACCCTCAACCCTAAACCCTAAACCCTAAACAGTCATAGGTTAGGACCCCACAGTTTGAAGCCCCTGATGCCTTCTGTCCAGGCCGACGCCCGCAAGCAGCGCCAGGCCTTAAGGCCGGTATCCCGTTTTTGCAGGCTTCAGGGTTTAGGGTTTAGGGTTTAGGGTCTAGGGTCTAGGGTTTAGGGTTTCGGGTTTAGGGTTTAGGGTGAGGGAGAAGGCCTTGAGGGCTTAGGGGGTTTTAGGATTTGATGCAGGATTCTGGTTCTAGGGCTTCGGGTTTAGGTTTAGGGTTTGGGACTTGTCGGCCGGCTTTTTTGATTAGGATTTAGGCTGCTGTTGGCTAGGGTACCCGGGTTTACTCAGGCCTGAACTCAAGACTTAGGCCGCGCCTCTGCTGTGGGTTCAAATGGGGTAGTTTCATGGGCCCTTCATATCCGTACCCTCTGCCCCCCCCCCCCAAAAAAAAAAAAAAAAAAAAACAAAAATCAAAAAACCCTCGTTCTCCCCTAAACCTACCACGTACAGGAGGAAGAAGGTTTTAAGAGTGTGGAATCCAGGCCACAAGCTTTGGTTTCAGGTGACCTCAGTGTTTAGGGTCGCATGTCCTGAGGGCTTCCACTGGCTTTATGGGTTTCGATGGTCTTTATAGGCACCCATGGTTTACATAGGGGTCGGAATAATTTCTAATAATCTTCCCTTGTGGTCACTTCGTAATTATACTACAGTAACCTCCCAAAACCCTGTTCTAATTATCAAGGCCCCTATAGTAGCCATAAACCCTAAACCCTAAACCCTAAACCCTAAACCCTAAACCCTAAACCCTAAACCCTAAACCCTAAACCCTAAACCCTAAACCCTAAACCCTAAACCCTAAACCCTAAACCCTAAACCCTAAACCCTAAACCCTAAACCCTAAACCCTAAACCCTAACCCTAAACCCTAAACCCTAAACCCTAAACCCTACCCTTAACCCTACACCCTTAACCCTAAACCCCTAACCCACACCCTAAACCCAACACCGCTAAACCTAGCCCTAAACCCTACACCCTCATGGGCTTTAGCACTTTTTTTGTTTTGTCAACATGCGCCTTCAGGGCGGCCGGCAACCCTCCGCGGACCGGTCCTGTACGATGTGCGGGGCGGGCCCCAAGCCATGATCCTGGAGGGCCTTTAATAGTCGCGCCAATGCGGCCTGCTGGAAACATAAAGCCGCCCCCCCCCCCCACCCCCCCCCCTCCCCCCAACCTCCCCCCCCCCCTCTTGGTCAATGGCCCCCCCCCCCCTCCCCCCCGCCTCTTGTTCCGGGGAGGGGGGGGGCCCCCCCCCCCCCCCCCTTGGTCAATAACAGTGTTCTTAATAGGGTTTCACTTGATTTTAATTAACGTTTTAATAGGACTTCTTTTGATTCTAATCGGGTTTTTGTTACTTTTGAAAGATTTCTAATAATACGAATGAGATTTTTATCCCTTCTAATAAGATTTGTATTAGGTTTAACGGGATTCGTATTGAAATAATAGAAATCCTTGTCGAATTAAGTTCAACTCCTATTACAATTGATTGAACTGCTATTAAAATTAGTAGCAGCAGTAGTAGTTTTAGATTTAGTTTAGTAGCAGTCGCAGTAGCAGTCGTCGTTGTTGTGGTGGGTCGTCATAGTCAGTGTCATCTCTGATCAGTATCCGCGTTGTTGTCGTGTAAGGGAATGGTACCAGGATACCATGTCGGTTTTACAGTCAGTGTCGGGCGATCTGTGAAAGTTTCAGGATCCGATAGTGCGCGCCACTGCGGCCTGCGGGAACATAAGCCAGCCCCCCCCCCCCCCCCCCCCCCTCTCTGTTCACTGCCCCCCCCCCACCCCCCCCCCCCCCTCCCTCCCCTCCCCCCCCCCCCCCCCCCCCCCCCCCTCTTGTTTCAAGGGGGGGGGGGGGGCCCCCCCCCCCCCTTGGTCAATAACAGTGTTCTTAATAGGGTTTCACTTGATTTTAATTAACGTTTTAATAGGACTTCTTTTGATTCTTATCGGGTTTTTGTTACTTTTGAAAGATTTCTAATAATATGAATGAGATTTTTATCCCTTCTAATAAGATTTGTATTAGGTTTAACGGGATTCGTATTGAAAAAATAGAAATCCTTGTCGAATTAAGTTCAACTCCTATTACAATTGATTGAACTGCTATTAAAATTAGTAGAAGTCCGATTAGAAATGCTACGAAAAAAGAAGGCAAATAGAAATCTTGTTACATTAATAGAAATCCTCTTGAAATTAGAAGGATTCCGAATAAAAAGCAATAGGAATCCTACAAACATGGCAGAGGAAATGTGGAATTGAGCATGGCGGGGGGGGGGGGCGCCCCCACCCCCTTCTTTGTAGGAGGTGGGGGGGGGGGGGGGGGAGGGGGGGGGGTTACCTTGAATATCCGCAGGCCTCTTTTTTACGCACTCTCTTTCAAAGGACAAGGATATGATTGTAAACGAAGTTTCATTAGTAATACGAAATATACGGTAAAGCTTGTGTGTTCTCTGCGTTCACACGTTATTTAGTACGCTTTTTGTTCGTTAACGTAATATCTTTATGTCGGCCCTTGAAGCACTCATTAATAGGGCCGTTATAATATTTTTACTGCGTTTGTGCATGTGCCCAATGGCGCTCGAGACCTCCCATGTCAAAGCATAGTTGCGACCAAACTGCTTCTGCCCTGAGCAGGATGTTGCAGCACTTGCGCGGCGGATGGATGAGGCGGCAGTTTCACGCTCAAGTGCTAAGAGGGAAAGGCTGTGCATGTCTCGTCTTGTCTTGCCTAAGCGTGGAGTCGCGCACCTACACCCGACACTGTTGGCGGAACGGAGAAAAAGGTCGACGAGCTGTTCTGCATTATGTCCCTGTCTAGTCCAGCGTTTTTGAAAGTTGTCGTTCTCCAAGTCGGCCAACTGAGGCAGTGAGCTCCGAGATCAGCTTGGGGCGGAGGTCCCTCCTTTTGCAGGGTCTGGGTCTGGATCAGTTACGCTGTAGGGCTTTGTCTTGAGGTTAGGGCCACTTGTGGGACAAAGATGGCATCACCGGACTTTGCCGAGTCTTTATCTTAAACTTTAATGTCCTCCTTGCAAACTGAGCAAGGAAGAGTGAAATGCTCTCTGCAGAAAATTTGTTCGTTATCGAGTGTATAAAAGTCTTCATGAAGAACTTTGAAACGAGTTTTGCAGTTTAAAGGCTCCTAGTGGAAGACTTTATTCACCAAGTTAGACGTAATTTTGAGTGACAGGTTTCAGACATTCAGCACAATGAGAGACAGACAAGGTGTGCTCCATGAGAACTAGAACAGAAACAGAATCATAAACCAATGAAGTACAGTATCATACTCGCCCAAATCTTACGCACCTTTACGGGAAATTAATGGTATCGGGATCTTTTGGGACAGCCTTCAGGTGGAGAGACGGCGCCTTCTGGAAGAACGCCGGGGGCCGTAGTTTTAAGAAGATGCAGGGGAATCGGCATCCTGCTTCACACCAGTCATCAGCATGAAACCTTCTGAACCAAGACGTACCTCTCGGCACGCTTCAAATCCCTACGGCAATCCGACCGAAGAAACCGAGAACACTGGAGCACCCTGCCCACCACCCAAGGCCTCTCCACAGAAAAGACTTTTGGCATGTAAAGGCCATCGAGTTGTGGTGGACACTTTGGAAGCCTCCCTGGAGCCCAGCGCTTGGCTGCTGATGTCTCTGAAAAGGGTGTTTGCATGTTTGCAAACGACTCCGCAGCTCTATATGCAGCTGCCTGCAGGGTGGCAGTGGGGGGGGGGGGCAGGGTGGGGGAGCTGCTGCGATGACATCAGGGGGAGCAGTACTGGTCGGTCTTGCAGATAGTGCTCTCCTCCAGAGCATTGCGATGTTTGACGTTGCGAAGGAACACCCACACCCAGGGGCTGGTCGCCTGTCAGCAGGCCCCGGCTGGCCGTTTCGTGGGGATCTAAAAGGCTGTGGATGTGCGGAATGAAGGCTTGAGGGGAGCACAAAGGGGTGCGTGTGTGGGTTGTGCACACCCTGAGAAGTCGAGACGAAAGAGGTAGCGCAAAACAGATTCCGGCCACTTGCAAAGCCAGGCCGTTCGCAACATCCAGGTCTCCCTTGCCGAGAAGGCACCAGCGTTTGTGATTCCTGCCGCGGAATCCGTATGCGTAAGCGACCACTGGATAGGGATCTAAAGAATCAAAAGGAAGCAAAAACAAGTCAACTAAGGATAAAACAAAATTCTTTCTTGTATTAGAGGGAGGGGCAGAAAGAAAGGACGGAAGGAAGGGTTTGAAGGATTTGACGCTTGCGAATCGGCAGAACGCCGTTCAGAACGCTGTATCTGGAGCTTGTGGAAAGGGAGAAAATGCTGTAATTGACCGTATTTGCAGCCTGCGAAATGCGAATACGCAGACATGTCATAGAACATAGTACTTGGAGTTTGTGGGAAAGCAGACATGCTGTATTTTGGGGAGAGGCATCCAAAAATATGAAACATCGTGGAAAGTGCGTTCACGGTGCCTCTCTTTGTGTGCACTAGCGGGTCTGTCTTTCTGCGAGTGTCAAGCCGAAAGCAGCGAAGCCAGCAGTCTGCAGCGCATGGCTACGGCAGTGTCTGCCTTGCAACATCCACCACGATGCCCACATCAGGATCGACAGCTGCACGAGCTCACCACGATAGCCCTGGAGCTACAGCAAATAGCCGGCAACTCGGAGAAGAAGGGCTCTTCTCGGGAGGTCGATCATAAGGGCTGGGTTGACAGGAAGCGAGATGTATTCACAAAATTGGCCAAAGGGGAGTCGGGAAGTGCAGCACGTCCAGGGTGACCACCAGCTGTTGTCATCTTGTGATCAGGTCCTAGCAGTAGTAGGACACCTGTGGCGGAGCGTCAGTCAGGGACCTGCCTGAATATTTCCCGGATGTACTCCAAGCTCTCAAGTAGGCCGGCGAGCTCCGCCAGGGTCTTGCAGACCAGGCCGAAGGCAGCCAGATGCTTTCTAAGACTGCGTGTTTTCGGGTGTTCTTGGGGTCAAGGGTGGGGGGGGGGGGGGTTAGGATTGGAGGGTTCCCGGATTCTGTTCAAGCATC